TCACGTGGGTGTGATTATAACGTTCAGTGTATCACGTAATCAGCTGCTAAATTCAAATCTGCTTTCTCGCAATGGTTCCCGATAAACCAAAGCAAGACGCTTGGTGCATCAGTAATGCCAACTTCTAATTTATTATAGGTGGGATTGGTTTGGCATATGTTGAGTTGTAGAATCTACACATTTCTCTGTAAATTATTTATTTTATTCATTAATTTTCTTGTCAGCTTAGTCCCTTTAATAATCCGGGGTCGCCACAGCGGAATGAACCACCAACTTATCCAGCAAGTTTTTACGCAGCGGATACCCTTCTAGCCGCAACCCATCTCTGGGAAACATCCACATACACATTCACACACACTCATACACTACAGACAATTTAGCCTACCCAATTCACCTATACCACATGTCTTTGGACTGTGGGAGAAACCGGAGCACCCGGAGGAAACCCACGCGAAGGCAGGGAGAACATGCAAACTCCACACAGAAATGCTAACTGAGGCGAGGTTCGAACCAGCAACCCAGCGACCTTCTTGCTGTGAGGAAACAGCACTACCTACTGCGCCACTGCCTCGCCTTAAATTATTTATTTTTTACATTTAATTTTAAAAAAAATTCTTATGCTTTCTAGATAATATTGCAGTATGTTGTGTTTGACTGTTTGTAAAAAGGCCTTTTAACCTTTGTTTTAAAAAATGCTGGTCGGTGCTCTTTGGGTACGGAATTCATCTAAACAACAACAGAAATCAGTCCAAGGCACTCGAAAAAATGTGAAACATCTAAAAAGCCTTTATTTACATGGCTAAATCTTAAAAAACCAACGCGTTTCGGCAGGGAACTGCCTTCATCAGGGTAACAGCGGCCACGTGCATCAAGAGTCTCTTGAGTACTACCGTCACATGACTCATCCAAACATCTGAACAACACTCAAATAATTTAACAAACAAGGTCAGCTATTATCATTAATTTGGCATAGATGTATTGATTGTATGAGCGCTTCTACCTATGCCAAATTAATGATAATAGCTGTCCTTCTTTGTTAAATAATTTGAGCATTGTTGAATGTTTGGATGCGTCATGTGACGGTAGTACTCAAGAGTAGTACTCTAGACGCACCTGACCACTGTTACTTTGATGAAGTCAGTTCTCTGCTGAAACGGGGAGGTTTTTTAAGATTTACTGTAGCCATGTGAATTAAGGCTTTTTAGATTTCCCACATTGTTCGAGTGCCTTGGTCTGATTTTTGTTAATGTTTATTTTATGTTTTAGATATTTAAATAAATACTAGCATGGTTTCAAAAATACATGCTGATGTATTTTATAAGAAATGTAATCAGATGATGTGGTTCTTTCACACTTTTTAGGTTACTAGAATGTTTACACTATACTTGTACCGGTTTAACAGCCACTTACTTTCATGTGTTTCGGGAAAAGTTGATTCACTAACATTCAGTAAACCAAACAGTTCTGTCTCTCCAATACAGAGCAGACTCATAGATCAATAGCCAACATAGTGCAATTAATAAGTTCATTATGAATTAATATTAGACTAAATACAGTACATGTTCTTACAAATATTTGAGATACACACAATAAGTCTGTTTTTACAGAAGGAGGAAAAATGAAACTAAAAATAATATATGCATAGTGGGCTGAGGTTTGTCACATGATAATATTGACATGTTACCAAGGAAGCTTTAAAGCAACACATTCTAAATAAGGGTCAAAAACATGAGTATGTGTAACTTTTGTGTAAAAGGGTTAATGTAGTTAATGTACTATTTATCTATGTAACTTCAAGGGAGGCAAGACAAAGATATCAAAACTAGATGGATATATGAGGTAGTTTGATGTTTCATACATGATGTTTTAAACATTATTTTATTGAATCTCTGGCACTACCCTTCCTACACTTCAAGAATTATACTCTTTCAGAGCGAGTAAAAGGGCCCGCAAAATCACTCTGGATGCCTCACACCCAGCACACTGCCTGTTCAAACTGTTGCCGTCTGGTTTGCGCTTCAGAGCACCAAGCACAAAAACAGCCAGACACAGGAAAAGTTTCTTTCCTCAGGCCATCTACCACTTGAACAGTTAAATATTCCCCTACTGTGCAATAAACGTGCAATACTTTCTCATACGCACTTGTACACAGCACCGCATATCAATATACAATGCAATACTTTCTCATGCGCATTCATACACAGCATCTTATAACCTGTATATTTATAACAAATCTGTACATACAATTCAACATCCAGATTTCTTGATTAACTGCATCTCTGTTTAATGCATTTCTTTTTTCCATATTTATTTTGTGTTGACATTTGTCACGTTATGTACACTAGAAGCTTCTGTAGCCAAAACAAATTCCTTCTGTGTGTGAAGCACACTTGGCAATAAAACTAATTCTTATTCTGATTAATACATTGTTATCCCACAAAAAAGTTTGTCGCCTTTGGTAGCTTTGCATTCATCCCATTTCCTCCTCTTTCAGCACCCTTTGAGTAACTTCATTTAATGTTAGTTCTATTTATTCTGTACATGCTGTTTGTAGATCATTTCGTCAGTTGTGAAGAAACAGAAGTAATAAAATAGTCCAATGGCGGTGGTCTTTGGGGGTATCTGCACTTCCTTTTTGAAATGCTAATAATTAATGCTGTTTCAGCAAATTTTTATATTTTTCAATATAGTTAAAAATTGTCTAGCAAGACCTTTTTTTCTCAGTTATCAAGTTGAGCCTATTTTCAGGTGCTTCATAATATCATTGAGCCTGCTGAAGCTGTGTTATGGTAGCAAAGTCCCGTGATTATTAACCCAGACTGAGAGTAGAGTTTCTAGCTGTAGCTGCCTGTAACTTTTTTCCATCGGATTTAGCACACAATGTGACCACAGAATAGTCAAGTTTTAAATAGAATATTTATCTAAGCTCTTCTTTTTTTTTTAAGAAAGATGCTAATTGTCTAATCTTTAACCAATCGTTAACCAACTTTAACCAACCCATACTTAAAACAATACTGCCTACAGCTATGGATACACATATTCGTGTACATATCGCTGTCAACACTGCCAATATATATATATTTTTTTTGGGAGTATGCTGTTTTATTTTGCCCTGTCGTTGTATTTGCACTGTCGTTGTATTTGCACTGTCTGTATTTTGCACTGTCGTTGTATTTGCACTGTCTGTCTTTTGCACTGTCATTGTATTTGCTCTGTCTGTATTTTGCACTGTCGTTGTATTTGCACTGTTGTTGTATTTGCACTGTCTGTATTTTACACTGTCGTTGTATTTGCACCGTCTGTATTTTGCACTGTCGTTATATTTTGCCCTGTCGTTGTATTTGCACTGTCTGTCTTTTGCACTGTCATTGTATTTGCACTGTCTGTATTTTGCACTGTCGTTGTATTTGCACTGTCTGTATTTTGCACTGTCGTTGTATTTGCACTGTCTGTATTTTGCACTGTCGTTGTATTTGCACTGTCTGTATTTTGTACTGTCTGTATTTTGCACTGTCGTTGTATTTGCACTGTCTGTATTTTGCACTGTCGTTGTATTTGCTCTGTCTGTCTTTTGCACTGTCATTGTATTTGCTCTGTCTGTATTTTGCCCTGTCGTTGTATTTGCACTGTCGTTGTATTTGCACTGTCTGTATTTTGCACTGTCGTTGTATTTGCACTGTCTGTATTTTGTACTGTCTGTATTTTGCACTGTCGTTGTATTTGCACTGTCTGTCTTTTGCACTGTCATTGTATTTGCTCTGTCTGTATTTTGCACTGTCGTTGTATTTGCACTGTTGTTGTATTTGCACTGTCTGTATTTTACACTGTCGTTGTATTTGCACCGTCTGTATTTTGCACTGTCGTTATATTTTGCCCTGTCGTTGTATTTGCACTGTCTGTATTTTGCACTGTCGTTGTATTTGCACTGTCTGTATTTTGCACTGTCGTTGTATTTGCACTGTCTGTATTTTGTACTGTCTGTATTTTGCACTGTCGTTGTATTTGCACTGTCTGTATTTTGCACTGTCGTTGTATTTGCACTGTCTGTCTTTTGCACTGTCATTGTATTTGCTCTGTCTGTATTTTGCACTGTCGTTGTATTTGCACTGTCGTTGTATTTGCACTGTCTGTATTTTGCACTGTCGTTGTATTTGCACTGTCGTTGTATTTTGCACTGTCGTTGTATTTGCACTGTCTGTATTTTGCACTGTCGTTGTATTTGCACTGTCGTTGTATTTTGCACTGTCGTTGTATTTGCACTGTCGTTGTATTTGCACTGTGTGTATTTTGCACTGTCGTTGTATTTGCACTGTCTGTATTTTGCACTGTCTTTGTATTTGCACTGTCTGTATTTTGTACTGTCTGTATTTTGCACTGTCGTTGTATTTGCACTGTCTGTATTTTGTACTGTCTGGAGCCGGCACCTAAGCTTGTGCCGCACGTGCTGCTGATGATGTGACAATAAAAGTGATTTGATTTGATCTGATTCAATGATCTATGCTAAGCTAAGCTAAAAGTACTTCTGCCAGACCCAAAAATTGTGTGAAATCCATTGTGTGAATGGATTCAAAAATATTAAAACTCAACTGTTTAATTCTAGAACGGTTGTGAAGCCAATTTACAAAAAAAAAATCAAAGCATTTCTTTTAAAATGAACTTAGATTCATTGTTTGTTTTGTACCGTTTTCACAAGTGTTTCAGTTTTCAGTCAACATACAGAAATATATATTTTACTGTAAACTAAACTTCAGTCTTTAAAACATGAAACAATGTAAATGTGTTTTTGAACTGAAGCTGCTTTTATTTACAGTAATTACTGTTTTTCCAATTACTGTGTCAGTCTACAGTCATCTTATGCTAACTGCTCGCCTAGACATTCAGCAAAGCTGCAAAGAGACCAGAACAGCCACCAGTATGCTCATCTGAACTCCAGTCACCAACCAAAGTGAACAGGACAGCGAAAAAAAAAACCCCAGCTCAGATCCTGCCTTTGTTCTTACCTGAGCGGAACTTATTGCGGATGAGCAGTGACCTCTCAGACGCCAGCAAGGTCATAATGAAGAGACCGCAGAGGAAGAAGTGGAGGGGGCTTTAAAAGATACGTCTTCCTCCTGCAGAGCAGATACTTGTGATGATTTCTTACGCCCGTTCCTCTCCCTGCACAGAGAAAGAAAGGAAAGGAGAGTCATAGGAGGCCTGAACTTATCAGAGCTGCTATCAGGAACACAAGCAACTGGTGTAGTCTGTGAGTGACTGACAGAAACAGGAGGAATCAGAAGTCTGACAGCATCACAGCTTTGACAGTAAACAGCTTTGCTTAATAAAAAACCCCACAGATCTCCAACATGCTTTTAACAGTAAGTCAGGCTATTAAGCTTCAAAAAGGAAGTGGTCAAACAATAGCTGTGTGTGAAACTGAACATTTGCTCGTCATTCAAGAAAACCTTGACAATGGCATGTGAAGTAGAGAAGTAGAGACCTGTAAACAAATCATTCTATTGAGGCACACTTTTTTAATACGTTGTTTTTTCCTGTGTGTGAATGATTGGTTTATGAATTTATATCAATGTTGTTTTTGAGTTCAGTTCACAGTGAATCGAATAACAAACAACAAAACAGTGTCCGAGAGAGCTTAACATACTGCAATTTAAAAAAAAAAACGTGCAATTACAAAGAAATTGCCAACAAATTGAGAAAATACTTTCATCTGTTTGACAGCACCCATGCTGCAAATACTCACAACAAACCTCACAACGCAAACAAATTAATAAAACACGCTGCATGTTCTTACAATTCAAACAAATAAAACGCACTGCATTTTCTCACAACACAAACAAACTAATAGAACGTGCTGCATTTTCTTACAACGCAAACAAATAAAACGCGCTGCATTTTTTAACAACACAAACAAAAATAAAAAACTGCTCTGACATTTTTTTACAACGCAAACAAATTAATAAAACAAGCTGCATTTTTTCACAATGCAATCAAATAAGACGCGCTGCATTCTCTCACAACACAAACAAATTAATAAAACGCACTGCATTTTCTTACAACACAAACAAAAATAATTAAACACGCTACATTATTTCTAAAACGCAAACAAATAAAATTGCACTGGCATTTTTTTACAACACAAACAAATTAATAAAACATGCTGCTTTTGTCACACAACGCAAACAAATTAATAAAAAGGGCTGTATTTTCTAAAACGCAGACAAATACAACGTGCTGCATTTTCTCACAACACAAACAAAAATAATAAAACTGCGCTGGCATTTTTTCACAACACAAACAAATTAATAAAAAGTACTGCATTATCTCACAGCGCAAAAAGATCGAAACACAACAGAAATGTTTCAAGGAGACTTAAAAACTTGACAAACACCTCTGTGCCGTAACTTTTGTTAAGTGATATAAAAGGCGATCTTAGAAAGGGGAATTTTTTGTTTGTTTTATTTTAATATCTCGATTCCCTTGTCTTTAGTATTTATTAGCCTTAGTAACCATAACCTAAATAGCATGGGTCTGTCCTGTTTTATGGTCTCCTTGAAACATTTCCGTTGTGTTGTGAGAAAATGTAGCGCATTTTATTAATTTGTTTGCGTTGTGTGAAAATGCAGCACTTTTGTTTAAATGTGTTTGTGTTTTGAGGATTTGCAGCATGTGTGCTATCAAACGGATGAAGATCTTTTCTCAATTTGATGGCATTTTTTTATAATTGCATGCGTTTTCTTAAATCGCAGCACATTAAGCTCTCTCGGCCACCATACAATGAACTTTTTTGGTCCATTACTGAAACAGACTTTGAATATGGGGTATCCGACAACCTTCTTGAAACTTTCGAAACTTTCATATATAACTTTTTGATATATAAAAATTTTAAATTGCTATTTCACAAATAAAAAAGAAATCATCACTTATTTATCCTTATGTTGTCCCAAAACCACAAGGTTTTTGTTTATTTTTGAAGACCACTCAAACCTCTTAGTTCAATTTAAATACATTTATGATGTCTTTTAATAAATTGAAAAAAAAAACTTCTAATGGAAATAACTAGATTCTCCTGTTTCATTAAAATATCTATTCATTCAAGACTCTTAATAATAAACATTATTTTCTGGTCAATGTACGACCTTTAAAATCCACTTAATTTTTCCGTTACACGAAATGTTCATCAAATTATTAAAATGTTCTTCAAACTAAGAATTAAAATGATCCCTTAAAAGAGATCCCAAAATGTTTATTCTGCAGCATGACTGCAAAATCCCCCATTTGGAACATTCATTGTGTATTTCTGTGGCAAGTAAATCAAGACAGAATATTAATTTTGAACTAGTCCCAGTCTCCATTCACTATTGTATATTAAACAGTGATAGTACATTGAAGCTAAAGTTTCTCCTTTTCTCTTCCACAAAACAAAACAAATCGTATGACTGTGGAACGACATGAGGGTGAGTAAACAAAGACAACGTTTTCATTTTTAGGTCTTTTTAAACTATTCCAATGGGAGGAATTTTGTGCCCAACTAGCCAAGGATATAATGGCCCGTCGGAGCAGATGAGAGTGAGTGCATGTGCACAGGCTTGAGTTACAGAAATAATTGGTTTTATTTATGTGCCCCAGAGCTGGATTTCAAGTACGTCAACGTTTTCACTGTAGATCTCTCTTCATGGGTTAATAAGAACTGCACTACCCGCTAACTGCAGCTACTGAAGCAACAAATTGTCCTTAGATGAAGATCACAAAAATGTCTGGCATTACAGACATATGCACCCATATGCTTTGAAAAAGTGCACACACACTTGCAGATAAATGCAGGAACGTGATAGAATAAATGGAAATGAATACTCACAGTCAGACTGCACTCCCACAAGTTTTGTCAGAATGGTGTTTAACAGAGATTAAAGTCAAGAGAGAGAGAGAAAGAGAGAGAAAGCTGCTTCTGATTGAGGTGGAGAATAAGGGCAGAACTTAAGGCACGTTCAATGACAAGGTTGTTCCTTATCTTCTTTTTCGTCTGCTTGCTCATTCCCTTCCACAGGTGAATCTAGGGAGAAAAGGGCCCAGTGTTTCTTCCTCTTTTCTTCCGAGACGAATTCACCCTGTGCACCTCGTTCTCTCTCTCTCTCTCTCTCTCTCTCTAGCCCCACACGTGGGGTTGAGCCAACTGTGCTGGGCTATCAAAAGAGCACCCTGACGCACTGCCCTGCCCCCTCTCATACACACACACACATTGGTTTTAGTAATTTATGAGAACTTTCGATAGGCATAAAGTATTTTCTACAGTAAAAAACTAAACCCAACTCTTACACTAAAACTTTTAAAGTTTAAAAATACCCTGTTAACTAATTTTACACAGTTTTAAATTAAATTAAACATAAATGCCCTCAGGAACTACATTAACACTGTAATACCAAGGTCATACACAAGTCATTAAACATTTTTTGTCCTCATAAATCACATTCACAGGCAAATGCATGCACAGGTTGGTTTTGGTGGTTTATGAGGACTCTGCATAAACATAATGTATTTTATACAGAGAAACTGTATATTATATGGCCTTACTCTACCCCTTAACCTAACCCCCACAGAAAATGTTAGCATTTGAAAAGACCCTGTTAACTATGATTTTAGACTGTTTTAAATTACAAGGACACAGCGCATGTCCTCAAAAAACTAAACCCAACTCTTACACTAAAACTTTTAAGTTTGAAAATACCCTGTTAACAAATTTTAAACAGTTTTAAATTAAATTAAACATAAATGCCCTCAGGAACCACATTAACACTGTAATACCAAGGTCATACCCATGTTATTTAAAATGTTATGTCCTCATAAATCACATCAACAGTTAAACGCACACACAGGTTGGTTTTGGTGTTTATATGGACTCTGCATAGACATAATGTATTTTATACAGTGAAACTGTATATTATATGGCCTTACTCTACCCCTTAACCTAACCCCCACAGAAAACGTTAGCATTTGAAAAGAACTTGTTAACTATGATTTTAGCAGTGTTGGGCAGTAGCGTCACTACATGTAGTGACGCCACTAGCTTAACTACATTTCTCAGTAGCGTGGCAGTAGCATCGCTACTTTATAAATCAAATAGCTTTTCCGTAGCCAAGCTATTTTTCAAATCAAGTAGCGCAGTCGCGTCCACACAAGTTACATTTACTGATTGCGGATCAATCAGTGATGGCACTGACATTCACGGAGCTGTGAGGCCGGTGTCTAGCCGATAAAAGTAAAGCCATACGATGGGATGGCGAGAATGAGGAATTCTTCTTCTTGTTTTACGGTGTTCGACAACAAAGTTTTTGGTGCGTTACTGCCACCTCTGGTTGGCGATGTCGCCAACCGAAACTTGCTTGATGGAAAGATGACAGGGGAGACCAGTTATTTCTGAAGCAGGATTCCTCGTGCCCATAACATATAATGTATTCAATATAACACTTATTCCAAAATATTTAACTTTACTATAAATTACTATAGTATTTTAAATGTGTAACACCTGGTTTTATTGGATGTTTTGGTTTAGCTGTTATATATTATAATTTGTTTCTGTTTGGTACAGCGTACTATTTACAGTAAATAACTGAACTGAACTATTATGCCTCATATGTTTCATTGACAGTTTTATTGATCACTAAGATATGATTGACTTGGATTTAAGTTGCTTTGATTTAAAAATGAAAATTCCAAAAACATCCTAGATGTAGCTAAGCTACTTTTGCCTTGTAGCTTTTAGTTTAGCTTGCTACATTTCCCAGGGGGTAGCTTTTAGTGTAGTTAAGCTATTTTAAGTAGAGTAGCTAATAGCTTAGCTCACTAGATTTTTCAAGTAGCTTGCCCAACACTGGATTTTAGACCATTTTAAATTATTAGTACACAACGCATGTCCTCATAAACCACATTAACACTGTAATTCCAAGGTAATACCCATGTTATTATGAAATTTTTGTCCTCATAAATTACATAAACAGGTAAACACACGTACAGGTTGGTTTTGGTGTTTTATGAGGACTCTCTATAGGCATAAAGTATTTTACACAGTAAAACTGCTTATTGTATGGTCTTACCCTACCCCTAAACCCAACCGTCACAGAAAACTTTTTAATAAAAAAAAAAAAAAAAACACTGTTAACTATTTTAAAAACAGTGTTAAATTACGAGGGCACAACGCACACAGGTTGGTTTTGGTGGTTTATGAGGACTTTCCATAGGCATAATGTATTATATACAGTAAACCTGCTTCTTATTTGGCCTTACACTACACCTAAACCCAACCCTCAAGTAAAATTTTACATTTGAAAAGACTCTATTAACTATGATTTTAGAAAATTATAATTACATTAAAAGACATTTTAAACCACAATAACACTGTAAAACCAACGTCATACACGTCATTAAACATGTTTTGTCCTCATAAATCACATTAACAGGTAAAACACACACACAGGTTGGTTTTGGTGGTTTATGAGGACTCTGCAAAGACGAAATGTATTTTATACAGTAAAAAACACTTCTTATATATGGCCTTACCCTACACCTAAACCCAACCCCCACAGGAAACCTGTGGATTTTTTTTTTATTATTTGAAAAGACCCTGTTAAGTATGATTTATAGGACACAAAGCATGTCCTTATAAACCACATCAACATTATAATACCTAGGTCATATCCATGTCATTACACGTTTTTTTCCTCATAAACCACAAACATGTACACACACACATTGGTTTTGGTGGTTAATGAGGACTCTACATAGGTGTAATGTACTTTAGCAAAAATGCTTAATATATGGCCTTACCCTACCCCCAAACCCAACTCTCATAGAAAACCTGTGGCAGATTTTGGATGTCAAAAAAGCCTGCTAAGTTTAAATTTTAATTATTTTAAATTACATGTAGTGTCCTCATAAACCACCTTAAAGTTGTGATACCCATTTCGCTATACAAATTTGTGTACTTGTAATCCACAAAAACAAGTACACACTCACACACACACACACACACATACGCACACCTGCTGACAGATTCATTGAGAGGCGACACTACTGGGTGGGTAACGTGCGGTGTCTCCTATCTCCTCTTTCTCTCACAGGGGTGACAAGGCCAGACCTTCCCCCACAGGTACTTGATAGAGCTTGTAAAAACTAGTGACCTTCAGCAGCACATTATGTACAGCAGAAAAGCTACAAACAGAACAGGGAGAAAAAAGGTTACATTTTATTTTGATGGTCCCCTTTAGACATTCAGTTGACTATAAGTCACTCTGCAGCTACATGTCATGTAACTCTTATTAGGGCATTGAGGTAACGTTTTCTCCAAGTTTCACTCAATTTTGTGCACTGCCATATCTATAAAGCTTTCAAGGTATACTCAACCTTGTTCTGTTTCCATCCACACATGCTGATATATTGGCAGACGTCTGTGAAACTCCTGATTCTCCTGTTGAGGTTTGCAGCTAATGTTAGTTAGCATGTGTAATGAGCACCACATTCAATTGTCTTTAAAATAAATAGTACTTTTCCAGCCTGATCTCACAGGGAAAAGTAAGTATTTTATCAGTTTTATTACTTTAGTGGCTAATTTGTACGAATTCCTATGAATTGAGTCGTACAAAAATGAACGATTTTAAAAAGGAGGCGTGGCACCCAACCTCGCCCCTTAACCCAAATATTGTTGGGTGATGAGCAAATCGTGCTAAAATGTATGAATAAGATTTCATACGAATAACGAATTTATACGAATTAGCCACTAAATCAAAAAGTTATGAATTGCCATGAGATTGCTTTGTACTTTTCTGTGTTCAGTATTATTATTATTTTGTATTATATTATATTTCTTTTATTTTATGTTTTTACATGTATTATTTTTTAGTAATACATCATTTTGAATTTTGAATGAATTACATTTTTAAATAAGCTTTTAGAAATAGCATACATTGCCAGTAAAATCCATTTTACTTATGTTATTAATGAGTGACTTCAATTATTTATGCTTTCAAATTGCATTATTGGATCCAGCAAGTTTATCAAATGAACTTTTATAGCGGTTTGAAATAATATATTGACAATTATATACCATATTAGGCTAAATGCTTTTTAATCACAATTCAAAACAAAAATCCTATTTTAAAACATAATTTAACCATATTTAAAAAAACATGAGAATTTTGTAACAGCATTCATTAGCACTAGGTAGAACATAGTTAATGTATTCTTGAAAAGAATATAAATAGTTGGCAAGGATGCGAGTGTATATAATTTTCACCACTAGAGGGCGTGTATTCACAACAAACAAATGTCTGATTTGATGGTCCATTTGTTAAATGTAAGTTACATTGAGTCTACATGGGCGATGCAGTGGCGCAGTAGGTAGGGCTGTCGCCTCACAGCAAGAAGGTCGCTGGTTCGAGCCTCAGCTGGGTCAGGCGTTTCTGTGTCAAGTTTGCATGTTCGCGTGGGTTTCCTTCAGGTGCTCTGGTTTCTCCCATAGTCCAAAGACATGCGGTAAAGGGGAATTGGGTAGGCTAAATTGTCTGTAGTGTATGAGTGTGCATGAGTGTGTGTGTGGATGTTTCCCAAAGAAGAGATGCGGCTGGAAGGGCATCCACTGTGTAAAAACGTGCTGGATAAGTTGGTGGTTCATTCAGCTGTGGCGACTACAGATTAATAAAGGGACTAAGTCGAAAAGAAAATGAATTTAATAAATGATTGAATGAATGAATGAATCCATCTACATGCCAGCTAATTCTCATTAGATTATAAGTAGACTGTTAGGTTGGGGTTAGTGTAAGTTGACATGTACTTGCAAAGTTTTTTATAGTCAGTTAAATGTGTTGAAGAAGCAGTATCAACAGATATTAAGCAGACACTGTACTAACAGTCAAGTTAGTCTATTAACAGTCTCAAATGGACCATCAAAATAAAGTGTTACCAATTTGATAACTCCAGTGTGGAATTATGGGAATTATAGGTCTTTGTTACATCCTATGTAACCCCTGCAGAAATCATGTTCATTGATGAGCTAAAGTATTCAAAATCTGAGATGCTGTTCAAATGGTTTTTAGATATTTTATTAATAAGAATCTGACATATTGTGCATTTAAAGGAGCAAAAATATGTTCTACA